TTATGTTCGTCCGGTCGCTCGATCATTTCATGTGGAATGAAAGCACGTCGTCGGAATCGGCACGAGCGACTGGTCGCCTATACGTGGAATTCTCGACGAGCATAGTGACGGCGGGTATTTTTTTTTGGTCGCCGTGAGTAGCGACATTTTTCCAAGTATATGTTTCAAGTACGTTCACGTTAGATCAGGATAGGATGTTGCTTGCACATTGCGATTTTAGTTGACACGTGTTGATTAATTTGAATAGGTGTAGGAACTCGTAGTAATGAAAGACTTGTAAAATGAAAAAAAAAAAAAAAAGTATACTCGATGTAAATGTTTCAATGCAAAAGCAAAATATTCGTACGAATAGATAAATTTGAGCATTTCGTGATGAAGAAGACGGATATCGTGCGACCGTTTGTCGCTACGAAAGATGCAGTTGGCGCATCAGACACTGGTAGCATGGTTCAGGTCATAATCGAGTAAATAATTAATAATTGTCGTGATAATTGATAGGTTGCAACTTTCTTGCAGCTTCTCTTTTACAATAGCATGGGATAATTCTCGTATCGCATCATTCTCGTACTCGTTGCTACTTTGTCGCTATGGTCTTTTAGTATTTGTAGTTGTAGTTGGTTGGTTAATTCTTCTTCATCTTTGAATTATTGAGTTGCATAATTTTGCGTGCTGTTTTTCCTAGCGTTGCGAGGAAATTTACAGTTTACAGTTGAAATTAGAGCCGCGAGGGAATGACGATGTGCGTGTTTACCTCGGACAATTTCGATTCTGATGAACAAAAGTAAGCGAGGAGATGTAATGATAATTTTGATATTAATGACAATTTGGAGAAAATTGTTTTTAAGAATGTGTTGTAAAAAAAAGCGAATCATCATTTATACTTGAAAGTATAAGTGTATTGGTAATGTCGGGATTTTAATTCACTAGATGGTACAAGAGAAACCAAGTGAAGTAATAAGTCACCATATTGAAAATATGAAGCTTTGCGTTTTGATGGTACTGAAACGAATGTCGATACCAAATTGTTGATGAATGTCAGTGTGATTGCAACGTGACGTAGTCTTTTCCAGTTGTTTGTTTAAGCGTGGGACGCGCTAAAGAAATGACCGACACTGGTCCGAGGTCAATGTCGAAATGAATGTCGAAATTAACGTATATATACCTGTCGTCTGTGCATTATATATACTGACAGTTTTTATTAGATACTAGGTACATGGCCAAGAGATATAACTATATATAGTTGTTATTTTCTCATTCACGTTGAC